GTTACACACAGACCCCTGCCCGTTACACACAGACCCCTGCCCGTTACACACAGACCCCTGCCCGTTACACACAAGTGACTCTGGCAGTCAGGGCTCTGGTAGGGACAGTAAATCTGTGCCCATAGGGGACTGTGGTTCAGTCTGTGCTCACAGGACACAGGTTTTTGAAAGAAACCTTCCAAAGCCATGGGCAGGTGCAGGGAACCTGGAACTGATATTAATTCCCTTGCCCCTTGCTCGGGGAGAGTGTGCCACAGATATTGGGAGCACAGTGAGTGGAGAACATGCAATCTCTCCTGGACGTCCTCAGAAACGTTCCCTACGGTTTGCAATTAATCTCTTTTACATTTTCGAAGGTGACCACAAGGACAAAGGAAACCAGCTCAAATAATGAGAATAAATGCGAGTAAGATTGTTTGGATGAAGGCAGCAGGGGGAACAGGCAAGTCGACTGCTATTGTCTCGTGTATATGCTTTCACACAGAGGCAGCTTAATCAGCAGAATATGGATGAGGCAGAGATACACAAAGACACAAAGCAACAACACCAAGCATTTACCATAGCAGCTACACTTGCAGCACAGCCTGAGTATCAGTAGCATTTCCATCACCTTCCCTCCTCCGTCACTCTCTGTTACTCAGTCCTGTCCACACTGAGCTCCGAGTCCTGCTATCACATGGATCGCTGGGGGAAGGGCGGGCTAGTGGACTCTGCACACACTGCCAGTACACCAGGCTCACACATGGATCAGGAACAATAAGGACACAGTCAGTGCTCAGATCACAGCTTGACATAAGGACCAGCGATGGGGCAGTACAAAGGCTGAGGGGCTCAGAGCACAAGGTCACTGCTTTCAAAGCACATTCCAGAAACCTACCTTCCAATGTGACAGAGGTGGAACATTCCTTAGAATCCTTGGGGCTTTTCACTTTCAGATTCTTAAAAGAGAAAGAGAGAGAGGATGAAAAGTGAGCTGAGGCGGAGTGAACTCTCAGCCCAAAGCTATTGTTTCAGGTCAGTTATTCCACCCAATCCCAGCTTACCTCCGAGATCTTCCTGAAATTGTTGTTAGCCAAACTACATCTCTCAACCGTCTCCACAGCAAGTTTATAATTCCCCACGAACGCCTGGTACACCCCAAGACCTTCAGCCTGCAGAGAGAGAGAGAGAGAGGGGGGGAGCAGTCAGAGCGAGAAGCCAGACAAGGGATAACAGAGAGGTGTGGGGGTTGGGGGGAGGTGAAGAGAGAGGGATGGAGGAAAGGTTGGGAAGGGTGAAGGGGGAAAAGAGGGGTAGGAGAGAGGGAGCGGAAAGAGAGGAGGGGCAAGACAGATGGTGGGGGGCGGGGAAGGAAGGGAAGAGAGACAGAGGGGGGACAGATACAGGTGGGGGAGAGACAGGAGGGAAGGTGGGAAGAGAGGCAAAGGGGTAAGAGAGACAGAGAAGGGGAAAGAGGCGGAGAGGGGGAAAGAGAGGCAGAGAGGCGGAGAGGGGGAAAGAGATGGGGGTGGGTGGAAGAGAGAGAGCGACAGATAGAGACAGAGATCAGGAGTGGGGGGGGGTGGGGGAGGATGAGATGGACCATTCAGCATGGAACCATCCTGAAAGGGCGGGGGGGGGGGGATGCTGGCTGCATACACTTCCACTCGCACTGGCCTTCCCCATTTACCAGCTTCTGGAAGAGGTGTCCCACAGAATGCTGGGAATCCCAGTTCTCGATTTTGGGACACAGGCTGTCACAGAATTCCCGATGAATTTGATGGATTTCCTGCACCTTGTAGAAGATGGTCTCAATTTGCTGATTGGTCAGAACTGGCTGTGAGGTGGTAGCAGCAGCTTTTAGTGGCCTCAGTGGCTGGAAGAGAAGGTTCCGGAAAAGAACAGCAACATGGTCAATGTGATTCTCTATTACTCTATAAGCTGCAGATGTTCACAAATACTGAGACCCTTTGGTCACTGAGCAAGCTCCCTTCTCCACTCCAGGGTGGCTCCAAACCATTTACATAGACCCCGGGTGGGCATGTGGGACTAGAAACAATGATTGTTTCACTCAAAGTGACAAACTGAGCTAAATGTGATACTTCACTGAGTTGTCTCAAACTACATTCCCATAGGTTCACGTACGATGTTCAAAAACAACTGCCAGTCCTTCGCTGAGGGAGCGCCGCACTGTCGGAGGGTCAG